TTGAAGTATTGAAATTCAATGAATAAAAAGGGTGGGCCAGGCACGGGCAGGCTGGGGAGGAAAGACTAGATGGTGCTGGACGTCCTCCAGCCAGAAAAATAAGTTGGCTCTACCTGCAGCTTCTAATGCACATGGTGAGAAGCTCACAGTGTGCAGTGATATCAGAGTAAGAGCAGAGGAACCGATACAACTGTGTATGACTGGAGGGGAGGCCGGAGTTCAGCAGTATATATATACGGCCACAGCAAAGACTTTCATGAATTCCACGGCAGCGGCATAAAACGGCACTGCGGTGGTGGAATTCGATGTGGAGAGCGGAGGAATTTCACCGTTCTCGTATCCGGCATAATAAACGTGCCCCAGTTTCAGGTTGTGATCCCGGGATTACACAGTAAGGCTGCACAAGAGCAAAGCTCATTATATTTCCAGGAATCTATAGAGCCGGGTTATACACTGGATTCTGTATAAAGTTTATGTCAGAGGAAAAGTAAAACATAACATATGTCTTACATCTCCACAATACAGGAACATTACCCCTATTTCAGCCCTGCCCAGCTCTCCCCTGCTGAACTGAAGAAACTCCCCCCAAATCCGGCATTACTCCCAGAGGCAGAGGCATGTTGGGATTAGCAGTTAAAGGAGAACTATGAGGTGAGTGAAAATCATTCATCCTGATAGTTTGAGCCGACGTGTGACAATGAAACTGTCACAAGTCGGCTCAATAGATCGGGAAGTGAGCGAACACATACCGTCTTTCGCTCACTTCTCGATCATCTCCCTGCAGAGAGCTGTGACTGTCACTCAGGGCTCCCTGCAGGGATTCCCCCTCCCCTGTCCGATCCTCCAGCGCTGACTGGAGGAACGGATGGGGGAAAGAGCCAGCTGTGAATCACACAGCTGGGTGGATCTCGACAGTAATGTCGGGATCCGTCCCGGCTGCCGCGGTCTCAGCTGCAGCTTGCGGTATACTGACCCTAGGGAGAACGATGGGGAAAAGCGCTAACCCTATAGTTCTCCTTTAAAGCACTGCTGCTGAAGTCCAAGTGGAGAACTGGAAGGGACTGGCAACACTTGCTTGGGGTTTCGGTATAGCAGAGGCAGAGAGCACAAAAATGTAGGCTGGATTTCTGGTAGGTTCCACAGTTATTTTTTTGCACTTGCATCAAGGGAATTCAAGGGTAGCTGTCAGGACGGCTGTATTCCTCAATAGGATATGCAGTAAATCTGGTTTGTGGACACAAAATGTCTTTCCACAGCTAGATTGTAACTTGCAAAGGTAGCTGTGACATCATCACCATGCTGCACATAGCCTGTGCAGAGAGCAGGGCTGTTAGAGGAGTTCAGCAGGCCCCACTTACTACAGGCTGCCTGTAGAAAACTACAGGAGGGGGAGAAGACAAGACCAGTCACCCTGCACTAGGAGAGAGAGCAGCAGTAGTGACTGGTCTTTATTACAGGAGGGGGAGGAGACAAGACCAGTCAACATGCACAGGGAGAGAGAGCAGCAGTGACCGTTTTTTATTACCCGAAACTCCACGTTTCCACTGGATTACTGCACAGATCTGGAAGAATATACACAAAGCACACTCGGCATTCAATTTATAAACAATTGGCCGAGCCATTCGTCTTGCGAATCGCTGTGAGTGTTCGATCCGTCCGAATGGAGGCAAATTAACTTTCTTAGTACATTTTCTTTTCAGGTAGAATGTAACATTTGGAAAATACCCTATTATGACCACTAGATGGAGCCGAGGCGCATAGGGAGTAAGTATTTCCTATGGCTCCTCAGCCCCATCTAATTTAAATGCACTAAGGCAATATTCAAAAAAATACCCCATTATGGCCACTAGATGGAGATGAGGAGCACAGACAATAAATATTCCCTATGGCTTCTCAGCCCCATCTACTTCAAATGCAATAATCAGAAAATACCCCATTATGGCCACTAGATGGAGCTGAGGAGCATAAGAAATAGATACCTTTAAAAAATAAATATTATAATTATTTCCTATGCTCCTCTGCTCCATCTAGTGGCCATATTGTGGTATTTTCTGAATATTACATTCGAAGTAGATGGGGCTGAGAAGCCATAGGGAATATTTTTTGTCTGTGCTCCTCAGCTCCAACTAGTGGCCATATTGATTTTTTTTCACATTTGACCTGAAAAGAAAACTAGATGGAGCTGAGGAGCATAGATAACAGATACCTATTTCCCGTACTCTTCAGCTCCATCTAGTGGCCATAATGTGGAATTCTCTAAATATTAAATTTGACCTGAATAGAAGGTATACGAAGAATGTTCCTTTGCCTCTGTTCGCACAGAATGAACGTCAGATAGATTTGCAAGGCGAATGGCTCTGCAAATTGTCTATAAATAGACCCCCCCAAGATTCATGTAACAATATAAATGTCTCTTGTATTTAAACAATACTTGTTTATCCCGCGCCAGCTTTAATTCACTTGTTGCAACCACTGCACCAAAATGTAACAGAGTCGCACATAAGAGCTACTTGATTTTGTTGCGCGTATCGGAGATAGCAAGAACGCTGTCACTCGACTCTCATAAAATTGGCGCAGGACTTTCTAATACAGGCATAAGCCAAAAAATTATTGCAAATGCTTTATTGAATCTCCTCCATTATGATTTGTTTCATAAGTAGGTTTTTTTTTTTTAAATAGAGATATGAATTCCGGAGTCTCGCTCCTGTCAAGTGGAGCTGACAGCTTCGCACCTTCGCTGGAATGTTCATCGGACCGCGCAAAATGCCGTTCGATGGCTAATTACCTGTGAAAGGACCTGGCACCTCTCACATGACAAATTCTCCCAAGTTCTGGAAGAAGCCATTTCATTAAAACATTCCCAGCTTTGCAGGTGCACCTCGTTCTACGGAAAATCCAGAATCTTCAAACGTCTATTTATATTACCGCTCAAGAGGGAAAGAAGGGGCGGGACTTTGTAAAAAAATAAGATGTTGTTGTGACCAATCGGACTCTGTTTGCCTTATGAATAAAATGGAAAGTATAAGGGTCCATTTATACTCCTGTGACCGCGGTAACACGTGCGTTACTGCAAGATGCTGTAAAACACGCAACATGCATTTATGTGTCAATCACTTTGTGCAACTCCACTGTATTGTAGCGTGCCGTAACACACGCTGTTTGGATTGCGTTGGAAAAAAGGGTCACATGCGGTTTAGGGTGGTGCCCTAATGCCATCTGGCACCAAGGCAGAGGGACTCATAGATCACAATGGAGTACAAGTGTGGTGACATCAGTCCACTGATTACACCTCCCAGTCCCATAACCGAAGGTTTGCACTATGGTACAGACTGGGGAAATAGGAGGAGCCTGTGCTGATCGTGGGTATTGCATGCATGTTAAAGCGAGGTATTCCTCATGGGCGTTGCACTAAGGTAGACCATTCATTTTGTACCACAAACCACCTAAATAACACATGATTTTGATGTACAAGATGTTCAATGGTGATGGCAACATCAGCAATAAACTTTTTACTATAAACTCCATAACAAGGACTAGAGGCCACCACCTAAAATTGGTGGAGAAAAGATTTAACCATGAGGGTCGTAGGGGCTTCTTCTTAAGGTCCCCACACACCTTGCGATAATCGTACGATAATTGCGGGAAATCCCGCAATCGTACGATTATCGTAAGGTGTGTGGAAGCCGTGCGACCTCTACTACTGTAAGGTTGCACGACTTTTAACTTACGGACATGTTCGAAAACCCGCCGAGCATCGTACGATGTTCGGCGGGTTTGTGGCATGTTCGTACGATAAAAGTCGTACGGGCCCGTTCGGCATTGCGGTCATCGGAAGCCCGCCCCTCAGGGGGCATGGCTTGCGATCATCGCAAGTACGATCTGCCTATGCAAGATAGGCAGATCGTACGTTTTTTTAAGTACCTTACAACCATCAGGGGGCATGGCTTGCGATCATCGCAAGTACGATCTGCCTATGCAAGATAGGCAGATCGTACGTTTTTTTAAGTACCTTACAACCATCGCAAGACAAAAGTCTTGCGATGGTTGTAAGGTGTGTGCCCAGCCTTAGTTAGAGTGGTTAGGGTCTGGAACTCGCTGCCGCAAGCAGTAGTATCAGCTGAGAGTATTAGATCATTCAAAAAGCATTTGGACAACTTCCTCAGGGACCGCAACATACAGGGGTACAGGTACTCTTAAAAACAAGATCACACCGGGACTTATACACATGCAGAATCACATACATACATGCAGTAGGTTGAACTTGGTGGACCTGTGTCTTTATTCAACCTCAAATACTATGTAACTATGTAACACACAAACACCATTTTTTTTAACCAGCACAACAAACAGATGGCATTGCGGTGGACTGCAAATTAGTGCATTAGGGGGTCATCCTAAACTGTACCGCACGTCGTGGTAACATGGTAACCCACATTTTGCCATGTGTTGCTACAAAGGCACCTATGTGAAGACAGCCTAATGGTTTATGGTCCATTCTATTAACTTCATGTCTTAAGGATAGTGTTATGTACAGTTGATGTTTTACAAATCAACATTTATTACAAACTGCACATGAGACAAAGGATTCCCAAAGCACTACGGGGGGTATTTACTAAAATTGGAGCAGACAGAAATAATGTGAATAGGCCCCTAATATTTACATGGCTCACATGGAAAGCAGAAAAGCTGTACCGTTTGTCAGGACCTGACTCACAGACATACATGATGCAAGGCACGTACTATATACAGTATCTATTTCCATCTATATCCCATGAAAGGGACACATAACCCAATCAGTGCAATCACTCTCTCCATATTGCGCTGCTCTAGTTCCCTGTGTAATCTTGTAAAGTGCTTCACACATGGCTGACAGTTTATAAATAAAGTTACATGATGAAATTTCAAAGCAGAGCCAAAGTGGATCAGCGGCCGGGTGTACAAGATGTTCTTCCTGCAGCATTAAATCACATTTTGGGGAAAGAGACAGAATAGCCACTTACTTCTGTCCATTCTTTGTTACCGATCCCTTGGATGTACAGGACCACCACTGCAAGAGACAAGGAACACGTCAGCGGACAGTTCACAGGAAGCCGCAAAGACCCTGAAAACCTAACGCCAAAATGTAAGTTTTCTTCTTAGTAATGGATAGAGTGGGGAACCTTCAGTCTTGCACAGTTGTACCGGCTCCTCTCCTGGACTGAAATGGCTTCCTCGGATTTCACTGCACACTGCAAGCTTCTCACAATGTGCATTAGAAGCTGCAGCAACTCAGATAGACTTAAATGGTTATTCACTAAGCTGCCGAATGCAACCAAGTGAATAACGGAGCCGAAGTGAAAGGAGTCGAACGCTGTTCGGCTATTCACTTATGGCTTGTACGGCTGATTTCAGCCGTACATCGGCTGCCTTCAGCTGCCTTTGGTCAGCTGAACATACTCTGCATGTTCGGCTAAGCAGAAGTGCAGAAGGACTTCGACCAACATCTGGATCGGCTCAGCTGAAGCTCCGGCAGCTCACTCGCTGCCGTTCGCCCCTATTCTCATAGGGGCCGAACGGCAGTGAGTGAATAGCCAAATGCTGCTTTGGCTTGGCTATTCTGCTCGGTACCTCCGTGGTACCGAGCAGAATAGAAAATAAGTGTAAGTATAAGTTTAATTTTTTTTTCAAAATGTAAATAAATTGTAAAAAATAAATTAAAAAATAAATAAAGATATTTAAAGAAAAACAATTGGGCAGAGCTAGCAGTGACAGCTAGCTCCACCCAACTGTTTTGTTTCCTATTGGTCGGCACCTGCAAGGGTCTTCTAGCAGGTCCCAGCTAATAAATAACAACTGGGCGGAGCCGGCCGTGATGTCACGGCCGGCTCCGCCCAGTTGTTATTGTTTAATGACAGTTCAGCGTCCCCAGGTAATTTGGGGATGCTGATCTGTCATTACAACTGGGCAGAGCTAGCCATGAGATCACGGGTGCTCCGCCCAGCTGTCATTTGTGGGTCGAACGGCCTGCCCATTACGAGGCTTCAGCAGGCCATTCGCCTCGCTTCGCGGTCACTTCGGCTCAGTCGAGCCTTCTGCTGCTGTACGGGCTATAGTGAATAGCCTGTACAGCAGCCCTTCAGTTCGACTGAACCCAAGGGCTCCGGCGGCCGAAGAGAGCCGAAGGATCAGCCAAAGCTACAGCTGGATCCTTCGGCTGCTTCGTGAATAACCCCCTTAGTTTCCTGGCTGGAGAACATCCAGCATCATTTAGCTTTAACTGTCCCTGGCCCATCCCTTTCATTCGCTGGATTTCAGTGCTTTCAATCATTGTGTGCTGTGATGATTTCAGAAAGCTATACAGCACCCTGTCATTTCCTCCCACCAGCCATCATATGCCTGCATTGCATAGAGAAACATAGGGACCCAGCAATTATATCACTGGGTCCCTAAAATAAGGTATGTAATGAAAATGGAAAGCTTTTATTTAAAATTTTAATTAGCATGTTGATGAGGGAGAAAAGGAGGAACCAGGGAAGGGAAAAATACAAGACAGATTAAACTCAAGCTGTAAGTGAAGATATGTTGGCGGAGTGCTGGATCGGGATTTTGGTAGATATTTGGATCTGGTGATATATTAATTACGAGGCTGCTCCCTGAGATCCAATGGGTCTGAAGAGGAGGCCACTGGACTGACAGCAGTGAATGTTTAATAGAATGAAAAGAGCTGCAGTTCACTTCTTATTCCTTATAAGACTAAAAACAATAGCCAATGCATTTCGGGGACTCAACTGATCCCCTTTCATCAGAGCTACAAACAACATAAAACTTTCATCAGAATTGTGCATACTGATGGTTATAATTCTTCCCCACTCTATCCAACATGATGGAATTATACTTTAAGTGACAATGACATGCAGGCACACATAGACACTCCGTGAATAAAAGGCTCTAGAGACCTATGTATGAAATGTGTGCTAACAAGGAAATGTCTTATTTCCCATACCAACCAATCATATGTCATTTTTGCAATCCAGGTGTGAATCTGAAGCAAGGATCCTGATTTGATGGCAACCCAACATTTTGTCTCACTTATCACTTTACCATCGGCTCCCACCTAGCATAATCCTAAAGAATGGTGACCAAAGCATGTTTGCCTTCTGGATCACACTTTGGATGACGCCAACATTTACAGCGAACAAGATCTGGGGTCTGAGATCTACGTGCAGCTGACACACCTACACGGACAACTATTTATATGGAAGTCTATTACCGCCAATAGTTCCCATAGCTATCAAGTGACATTGTGAGCACTAACCTGGGTCAGACTTGGAAAAAGTGTCCATGTCCAGCAAACTCCTACAGAGAAAGAGAGAAAGAACATGATGGTAAGAGGAGGAGGGAAGAGAAAAAGATATTGAAAATAGAACAAATTGTGTAAGAAAAGCATAAAGAAAGTAAAAATAAGAGAAACAAGGGTTAAAGAAAAGAGAGAGATGCAGAGAGACACATAGCGGTCTATTTATTAATAATTTGCAGAGCCATTTGCCCTATGAAACTCTGTGTACGTTTGTTCTGTGCGAATAGAGGCAAAAACAAACATATATATATATTTTTTTAGGTTGAATGTAATATAATGTATTATTATAATGTAACATAATACCACATTATGACCACTAGATGGAGCTATATTTCCTATGCTCCTCAGTTCCATCTAGTGACCATATAGTGGTATTTTCCTTTGCTATGGCTGAGTGCACACCTAGATCAGCAGTATCTAGGTGAACTCAGTGTAGTTGCGCCACACAAGAAGAATCTTTAAAATACTACAGTTGACACCAGAACAGGAAGTGAGAGGAAATCTTCCAAAAGGGACACCTGTCCCGGTGACAACTATCTAATAGAGAATTTCCCCTCGCTCCCTCGCTGGCACCAGCATCTTCGTCCAGTCTTCTTCTGGGTTTGGGACATCTTGACTCGCCAGTCCAGCATGATGCAACTCCCGCACATGTGAACGGGAGTTCAGTTATCCAGGTGGAGGGTGTGCCGAGACTGTCCTATCATCTGTGTGCATGCTCAGCTCAATGTGCAGTCTAAAGCAGATTGCAAACAGGCAGGTTAGACAGTTGTTTTGAGGAATAATCAAGAGTCGGCCTGTTTGCATTTAAAAAAAAGTATAGTGCTGCTTTAAATGCCATTGCAGCTTGAGTAATCAGGACCAAAAAGAAAAAGAGAGAGCAGGGTGGGGGGATGTTAAAGTGCACCTGTGCCCAGACTATGGATTTAAAGTGTTTATGTATTCTTAACTAGCAGTAAAAGAGCTTTAAAATAACCTGTGACCTTTCTTGATCTGTCTAGCTGCTTGTACTGTGAAGTAATGCATTCTCAATGATCACAACTCTGAAGTCAGGTTGCAGTCTTGCAGCTTCCGGCACCTGTTGTTTGTTTACAGGCTGCCAAGATTCTGCTCACCAAGAAAGTAAAGGGGAAAGAAGCTGTGAGTACAGTGTCGCTGTTGTAAACTTTGAGGATTAATTTTTCCACAATACCTAAAGCTACAGAGGTGAATGGGTGCTTTTAAAGTGATCCTGTCAGCAGAGGGTTACTTGTATGTACAGCATGCCAGCTTAAAGAAGATTGCATATACAGGGCCACTTTAATTCCTGTTCACAGTATGTAAATATTTAAATGTGTACAGTCTGAGTATAGGATCACTTGATAAGAAGAACAAGAGATACAGAGAACCAAGAGAGAGAGGGAGATGGAAGATGGGGCAGAATGTGTGAGGCCTGCTCCACATCCACACTATATGCATGCAATAATAAGTGCTTATGTAAGGATGTGTACATGGGCACGGATATATGTTTTTTATGCTTGTCAGCCTGCGTTTCCTGTGTGTTTAAATCAAACATTTCAACGAAGTTAAGAAACCAGAACAGCTACACCTTTACCCTGCCGTAAAAGCACAAGATAATGTGTGCATTACCATCCATCTAGGGATGTTCTCTTTTTCATCATACTGCAAGGCAGCGATATGACGTGAACATCCTACATAGCCATCAATTGATGTTTGCTGTACTGGCGTTTACCTGCGGTATAAAAACATGCATTACAGCGCAGGCAAACACTGAGCTGCGAGGAGGCCCCGTGGGAGAGGGAGAGAAAGATGATAAGAGATAGAGAGGAGAGAGAGAAAAAGGTGAAGAGAGAGAGAGAGAGAGAGAGAGAGAGAGAGAGAAAGGGGAATAGAAAGAGGAGAGAGAGAGAAAGTGGGGAATGAGAAAGAGAGAGACAAAGAGGAAGAGAGAGAGAAAGAGAGAGAGGAGAGAGAGGAAAGGAGAGTAAAAGAGGGTGGGGAATGAGAGAGAGAAAGATGGGTGAATAAATATAGAGAGAGAGAGAGATAGGTGGGGGCAATAGAGAGAGAGAGAATAGAGAGAGAAGGAGAGTTGAAGAGAAAGAAAGAGATATAGAGTTCAGAGAGGATGAGAGAAAAAGAGGAAGAGAGAGAGAGTAGGGAATGAGAGAGAGAAAGAGAGAAATAAATAAATATGTATATAAAGAGGAGGGGAGAGAGGAGAAAAGAAGGAAGGGAGGGAAGGAGAGTGGGAGGAAGAAGAAGAAGAGGAAGGAAGGGAGAGAGGGAAAGAAGGAAGGAAGGATAAGGAGGAGAAAGGAAGGGAGGGAAGGAAAGTGGGAAGAAGAAGAGAAGTAAGGGAGAGAGGGAGAATAAATGAAGGAAGGAAGGACAGAAGGCGGAAGAAAGGAAAAGGAAGACAAGCAAGAAAGAAAGAAAGAGGAAGAGAGAGACAGAGAAGAGAGGGAGAAAAGGAAGAGAGAGATAAGAGAGATGAAGAGTGAGAGAGACAAAGAGGAAGAAAGAGAGAGTGGGGAATGAGAGAAAGAGAGGAGAGATGGTTAGTGAGAGAAAATTACAAAAAAAATGTGCAGGAGGGTGGACCAGAGAGAGAGGGAGTGAGAAGACAGAATGAGAAAACTGTGAGTGGGGGGAAAGGGGGAGAGAGGAGAGGGGGAGAGAGAAGAGCAGAGTGGGAGAGAGAGAGAGAGAAAAGGAAAGAATGAGGAAAAGAGAGAGAGAGAGAGAGACAGAGAAAGGAGGAGAGAGAGAAAGGAGAGAAAGAGAGAGGTAGACGGAGAAAAAGAGAGAAAGAAGGAAAAAGAGCAAGGGAAAATTGGACAACTGAGGGGGCTGAGAGAGGGGACAGAGAAGAGATATACAGTATATATACTGTTCATATGAGAAAATTAAAATATTGGGGAGAGAGAGAAGAAAAGAGGGAGAGAGAAGAGGGGAGGAGGAAGAGAGAAGAAATAGATGTAAAAAAAAATGAGAAAAGTGTGATGAGGGAGAGAGATAAAAGAGAAAATAAGTGTGGATGAGGGCAGAGAAAGAGTTTGAGAAAAGTGGGAAAAGGACAGCAGAGAAGGGGCAGGAAAATAAACGGGGACATGGAAATAATGTCTTATTTATCATTATAATTAATGTAATGTTTGTCTTTAATATTCTATAGAAATTTGCCCTGCTGGACACTAGTGACCTCATAAAATACAACTGGAAAAAAATCGTTTCCACAAGCCCTCCATCCAACACTACTAATCTTCCTTCCTTTTTGCAGCTTTGACATGTGGATTCGATGCAGTCGAATTCCCCCACCAATCTACCCCTCTTTCTGCTCCCAGCGTCACCATCTGTCTTGATGGCAGCGAAATCACTAATTAAAGTGGATGGAACCTCTGACAATAAGCTTCACTTACTTGCTCCCTTATGGCCTTTTACATATATTATTGGAAGCATTTTGGTTATACTTGTTGATTCTGCCAGAAACCTTGTGAGCTGACAACTCTGTGCCTGTGCTACACTGAAATCAGTGTTATCAGCCTTGCCCAGTACTGTAAACTACAGAACACCTTCCACTATGTTATAGAGATGGAGGGTTCTGTAGTCCCAACACACTTCCTGATGTAGTTTGACAATTGGTGCTCCTCCATATATCCAGTGAGTGAGCATTGTCACCCACAGAAAATATGTTACAGGCAGGATCACCAGATAAGAGAATCATTTCTGCCTGCCTTAGTTTCCACCTCTGCTCCACACTGTAGATTCTATCTTTTCCTGCTGCAGTAAAAAAAAAAATGAAAACTTGACCAGTGAAAATCATTATAATGGTGGCAGCAGGTAGGCAGAGCTGAGAACTCAAGCATCAAGATAGGATACAGAAGGAGATTTAAAACATATTTGGGTAATTCAACTCTCCAGCACCCGCCAAGAGCTAGAATCAGTTTGGGGGAGGCTTAAAACCCTGAAAAAAACATGTACGGCGTAGTTCCCCTTTAAACCTATACCCCAAGCCTCAATACAATGTATTAGAAATCCTCAATTCAGCGCAAAGAACTTCCCGGAACAGCAGTTTAATTTGTTATTATGGTAAATGTGGCAAGTTTCTCAGTATTCGGGAATGTATTCCTTACTATTGCCATCCCTATAATAAAGACACATACAAAGGACATGCCCAGGAATCGAATCAATTTTACACCAGTACGCATATAGAATATTTATTATCTATGAATAATGCAGGGAAGTTTTATTTCAGCCTTCCAGAAGCTGCATCGTATAGAAATTCATTCATTATTATTTTGCTACGTGTGTTAATGCCGTCATAATGGTACTCGGAAAATGTCTCCACCAGTACAAATATTATGTATACATTAAAATGGCTCATGGGACAAAACGTATCAGCAATTATAATTCAAAATTATGCAAAGAATTGTTATTATGTACAGCGTACTGCACACAGTGCATGGGTATTGTCGTTCAAGAGAACCTGTAACATATGTATATAAAGAGCAGGGCAGAGAGGAGAAAGGAAGGAAGGGAGGGAAGGAAAGTGGGAGGAAGAAGAGAAGGAAGGAAGGGAGAGTGGGAGAATACATTAAGTAAGGGAGGAAGGACAGGAGGTGGAAGAAAGGAAGGAAGGAAGGGAAGAAAGAAAGAAAGAAAGAAAGAAAGAAAGAAAGAAAGAAAGAAAGAAAGAGTGGGTGAGGAAAAGGAAGAAAGAGAAGAAGGGAAGAAAGGAAGTAATAGTGGAAAGAGAGTAGTGGAAGGAAGAAGGAGGAGAAAGAGGAAAGAAGGAAGAAAGGACAAAGACGAGAAAGTAGAGAAGTGAAGGAAGAAGAGCGGGAGGAAGAAGAGGAGGAAGGAAGGGAAAAAGGGAGAAGGAAGGATTGAGAGAAGTTGTCAGAGAGGAAAATAAAGGGAAGGAAGGAAGAAGAAAAAGAGGAAGGGAGGGAGAATGAAGGAAGGGAGGGAGGAAGGAAGAAGAAAAGGGTTTAAAGGAGTTAAGGAGAG